TGAGTTGGAGGTTGCTGTGAGCTATGACATCACAGCACTCTACCCATGGGGACAGCTTGAGACTCTGTCTCAAAAAGAAAAAAAAAAAGAAAAGTTTGAATTTGTATCCCACTGTTTTTAATAGATGTACAATTTCTATCAGTATTTCCCCCTTCATTTTATTTAAAGTCCCACAAAAATCCCGGAGAGTTAATGTCATGTGCTCTACGTAACCCAGCTAAAAAGCTGCAGCTCAGACAGCCTCAGGTCTCTTGTGTTTCCACGCCCACCATCTCTCCACACTACACTGCAGAAAAACATCTTCCATGACCTTTCACCCTAAAAGTTGTTATTGTTATAGTCATGGTAAGAACAAGTGTTTTTCAATAATAACTTGAGCAAATGCTAAGTTTCTTCCAAATATTTCCCAGGGCTTTTGAGATACTGAGAAGAGAGAAACAGAACAGGGAGCGGCAACCTATGTGGCCAAGTGCTTCCCTCCAGTTTCACAGGTCAATCAGCTTTACTTAAAAATGAAACTAAAGAAACCAAATTAAATATTAACTCGTTTAAAAAAAAACAAAACCCAACACCAAACACTTCAACCAGAAGACTGCTGTGACGAATATCAGCCCACCAAGGAAAAGGCTATATAAAAAGGAAATTCTGCACTGCTTCTTAAAAAAAGGGGTGGGGGGGTAAAAGTTAGAGATCTTGCCACAACCCCCTTCTTCCTGCAAATTCCAAGTTTGTCACTTTCAGCCAGCCACTCCACATTGTTTAAATAGGGAATTGCAGCTCTCATTACACAGGAGAGGGGAACCAAAAACCTTCTCAGGTATCCACCCTGAAATGTTTAACTTGCTGAAAACATCACTTCCCAGTCCAAGGAACTTGCCAAGGGATTTCACAGTCTAAACCTTAGCCTATCAGGTTTATAAAAAGGAAATCTTTGGAAATTAATTGGTTACTGCCCAAGCCAACTGGAACATTCTAATATTTATATACAAACAGTTATAATCTGTTGGGGTCTGCTGTGTACCAGAAATTATGATAGGTTTTTTGCACCTTATTCCTAATTAGTAATCCTTATTTAATCCTCATTATGATTCAAAGTAGTTATAATCCCATTTTACTGGTTCAGAGTGTTTAATGCGCCTGAGGTCTCACCGTTCAGATAAGACTGGGAGTGAAACCAAGGATTTGAAAAGTATAGATTCAAAATGTAACAGTAACACTTATGTCAAAATGATTTTAAGGTCATTTTAGAGCTGGCAAGACTAGATATAGAGGGATGGCAAGATTAATAAATAAAAATAAAACATTACAGGATCTAACATTCGAGTTCGTTTCAGGACCTAGCCATGGATTATTATCGCTGACAGGGTTCCAGTTGGAGAAACCAAGACCCCCTTCCTTAAGGGGAGCAGGTCTGGAATGGCAAACGTTGAAGGGTTTGCGTGTAGGCAGCCTGAACATGGGCTATTACTGTTCTCACACATCATCAGTAAATGCCTCGCAAAAAAAGGGAAAAAAAAAAAGAAAAAGAAAGAAAAGAAAAGCAATCCTTCTTCTATCTCAACTTCAGTCCTGACCTCTGGAGTGGCTCTGGATAGTCTATGGCTTAATCTGTGTCCCTTTCAACCCACGACCGAGTTACCTGAAATGGGTAGCAAATGAATGAGCTGAATGCTCAGAGCAAGGAGACTAAGCCACTCATCGCTCCTCCAGCAGACAGAATCGAGGAAGGATGCCCTGGGGCAGGGCGGGTGGGAGCCGATCAGAGCCAGGTCCCCGTGGCAGTCCACCTTCCCCCGCCCGCGCTCCGCAGGACGCGCCGCTTCTCTGCCCATCCTCCTCCCAGTCCCTCTGCGCGCTCCTCACCGCTCGGGGCCGGGGCTCCAGACGCTCCCAGCTGAAGGCACTTGCTGCCGGGAAGGGGACCTGCCCGGGGACGCGGCCCGCCGCCGCAGCCGCCCGGGCCAGCTCTGGGCGCCGCCACCCCCGGGCCGAAGCCGCCAGAAAGTTTGCTCGGGGTCTCGCCCTCCCGCGCCTCGGCCCCACGAGAGGAAGCAGTTCTCCGGGCTCCTCCCGCGGCCGCCACCCCCGAGGCCGCACTCGGCGGCGCCGCAGCACGGGCCGGGTTCCGGGCGGCCGAGGGCGGGGTCTCTGCGCCCCAGTCGGCCCGCGGCGCGGCGCGGCGTGGCGCTCGGTGTTTACCGCGGCCCCGCTCGGCTCTCCCCGCCCGCCGCGCGCGGCCCGCGCCCTGCGCGCTCCTGACATCATTCATTCTCGCTCACCCTCGCCCGCCCCCTCCATTTCCAAACAGTGACTCACCCGCCGGCCCCGTGGCGGCAGCGCCCGCTCCGGCTGCTGTGGCTCTCCTGACGCAGAGCGAAGTCAGAAAAACCGGTGCGACTTCTTAAGAAGACAATCCCAGCCTACCCTCCCCTCTCCAAGCCATTAAAGGTGCCGAGAAGGAGGGGCTTGGCAGGCCCGCAGGAAAGGCTAAGGGCCTGGAGCGGACCTCCCGGAGCGGTGACAGATCAATCTGAGAAAGTACTTGGGCTGCCACTCCCAGCAACTTTCAGGGGTGGGGCTGGAAAGGGATCCCCCACCCCCGCGCGCCGCCTGTTTCGGAAACTGCTTCCTGACCGCGATGGGAGTGGGCTTGGGACCCAGCGTTGAGTCAGAGGGTGTTGCCCGGGCCTAGGTCAAAAAGGTGGGTTTCCAAACCTCACAGCGTTGCCTGGTGAGGGTAGTCGTCAGTCCGCAAGGTGGTAACTCCGGGTGTGAGCCGGGAGCGCGCTCCAAGCTACTGAGGCCAAAGATACCTTTCCTTCCGTGCCTAACCATCGTTGTCATTTGTCCTGTTAATCGATTTGTTTCTCTTTAAGGATAAGAAACCGGAACCAAAATAAACAGTGAAAGAGTAATTTTTCGCTTATCTAAATACTGGCTTTTTCGAAGCTTTTGCAAGGACACCAGGCGGCTGTCTCTGGTTTCTTCGAAGACCTCATTAGTTATGTTTTTAGAAGGAGTTGGAGGTCTTAGAAATGCTCAAAGCTGGGCCGGGCGCGGTGGCCTGTAATCCCTGCATTCTGGAAGGCCGAGGCGGGTGGATTGCCCTGAGCTCACAGGTTTGAGACCAGTCTGAGCAAGAGCAAGACCCCTCTCTAAAAATTGCCTGGCGTTTTGGAGGGCGCCTTTAGTTCCAGCTACTTGGGAGGCAGAGGCAAGAGAATCGGTTGAGCCCAAGAGTTTGAGATTGCTGTGAGCTATGACTCTACGGCCCTCTACAGCGACAGTGAGACTCTGTCTCAAAAAAAAAAAAATGCTCTACATTCTCTTGGAGTTGCTAATTCGTACACCTGCTGGACGATTTCCAAATAAATGAGGCAAACTCAGTCTGACTAGAATGATTAATCCGAGGGAATTTGGCCTAATCTTCATTGAATTGGTTAACAGAAATGTTTTATGTTAATTTCTACTTCTGGACAGGGAGATTATGTATAGGCCATAACACTGGCTTATGGACTCTACCGTATAATCAACAAAAACGAGAAGCTTCTCTGAGTGTCCAGGGCAAATATCAATTTCATGGTTTAAATCGTTTGTCTGTGGTTACTAACATGATGGCAACCGAAAGAAACATACAGAGCAGTCCCCAAATCAACCGCTGTAAGATGTCACAATTTAGAAATTTTCCCCAAATGAAAATGCTCCTGAAATTAACCAAAGGCTCAACATCATTGCTGTGGAAAATGCACTCCTTTAAAGCTACAGGAAGGTAAGGACCCAGAAAAGAACACCAATTGAAATTTATTTATCTTGGGTTTATTTGTCCTTTTCACTAAGGAGCTCGTTTTCTTTTTTTTTTTTTTTTTTTGAGACGGAGCCTCAAGCTATCCCCCTGGGTAGAATGCCATGGCATCACGCTCACAGCAACCTCAGGAGCTCGTTTTCAATTTTACAAAGCCCAAGCATTTTTCCCAAAAGTCCATAGCAAATGGACTGGTTTGCTAGAATGCACAAAATAAGTAGAAATTCAAAACAACAGTTTTTATAGACACTCACGGATCTAATTCTGAAGTTTGGATGTCCTATCCATGAGTAAGACAGAGTGACCGTGTTTAAATGTGTAGCCACACATGGCAAGTTTGGGTGAATGTTTTACTTCATGACCCAAATATTTGGTCATTATGGAGATGTGTATAAATAAAATTTTCTACAGATCTCAAAAGATGCTGATGTGGGCTTTTTGGCCTTTGTATGGAAGGCTGTTTAATGGACAGTTTTGAATGTGTGGTTACTATTGAACCTCAGTTTAAATATTGTGAAATGAATAATTAGGTCATTTCATTACATCACTTAAAGATTCTGGAATAAATATACTTGTATAAATATACAAGCAAAATTGTGAATGAATTGCATGAATTTTTTTCAATGTATTCATTGTCAGCATGAGAAAGCAAATTATTCATTTTAATTTCTATGTTTTGAAAAATGGTGACATCTCACAGAAGGGAGTGCTTTTTCTGTATTTTGTTTTTTAGCTGCACTCTTTGTTCTTACAACATATCAAAATTGTCTAAATTCATAAATTGGCATCTTTCAAAAATAATGGTGCCAGCAGTGCCCATAGCTCCATGGGTAGAGCTCCGGCCACAAACACTGAGCTAGCGGGTTCGAACCCATCCTGGGCCTGCCAAAACAACAATGACAACTGCAACAAAAAATTTTTTAAAAAGCTGGATGTTGTGGCAGGCGCCTATAGTCCTAGCTACTTGGGAGGCTGAAGCAAGAGAATTGCTTAAGCCCAAAAATGTAAGGTTGCTATGAGCTGTGACACTACAGCACTCTACCCAGGGCGACATAGTGAGATTCTGTCAAAAAAAAAAATAGCAATAGTAATAATAATAATGGTGCCAAATGCGGCTCAGCACCTGTAGCTCAAGTGGCTAAGGCTCCAGCCTCATACACCAGAGCTGCAGGTTCAAATCCAGCCCTGGGCATGCCAAACAGCAATGACAACTACAAACAAAAAATAGCTGGGCATTGTGGTGGGCACCTGTAGTCCCAGCCACTTGGGAGGTTGACATAAGAGAATCGCTTAAGCCCAGGAATTGGAGGTTGCTGTGAGCTGTGATGCCACAGCACTCTACCCAGGTCAACAACTTGAGGTTCTGTCTCAAAAAAAAAATAATGATAATAATGGTGCCAAATGCTCTAAGGGAGAAAAAAGAGCTAATAGTTAAGCATGTTCTTTTCCGTTGTCTTCTCTAAACCAGTGCACACTGTAAGCTAAGTTTTATAGATATTTCTTTGATTTGATAAAACATACAGAAGTTAGGAAAGTATATCTATGATATTAGCTTCTCTTAAAACTTCTCCTGGTCTGGACATACCAAAACATACCAACAAATTTTTATTGAGTTCCCACTTTGTGCCCCTGGTGGTTTATCTAAGAATCACCAAGTGCACCTCAAACATAAGTCTCAGCAATGGGAAAGCTTTTAAAAAATTTGCATGAAGGTGTTTAACTGCAGCATTCCTTATTTTTCCTGGCATCCAGCACAGCGCCTAGCATGCAGTCATTGACTGAGTGAATAAATAAATGAACACATGAACAAATAAGCCTTAAGGAACAAGCCCATATGGGGTAACTCAGAGTTATGGGATACTATGTAGCCAAAAAAAATACTATGTTTTTTTTTTTGAGACAGAGTCTCACCATGTCACAGTAGAGTGCTGTGGCATCACAGCTCACAGCAACCTCAAACTCTTGGGCTTAAGTGATCCTCTTGCCTCAGCTTCCCAAGTAGCTAGAACTACAGGTGCCCACCACAACACCCGGCTATTTTTTGTTGTAGTTGTTGTTGTTTGGCAGGCCTCAGCTGGATTCCAACCCACCAGCTCCAGTGTATGTGGCTGGCGCCCTAGCCACTGAGCTACAGGTGCCAAGACTGGTTGTATATTTTTACCCTCATTTGCTGTGTTCTCCTTCTTTCCCTACGCTATAATGTTGGCTTCTGCCTTGGATTTGTTCTCACTCTTTTCAGGTTTGGAGGCAAGATGATGAGTTTTAAACCTGCTGAGTTTTATACCTGATGAGTTTGAGATGTGAGATGTATAAATGGAGATGTAAAGTGAGCTGTTGGTACTGGTCTGGAATTCAGAAAAAGAGGCATGGACTGGAGAATAGTCAGCATATAATAATGGAAGCCATGAAAAAATGGAATGGCCTGCTAAGAGTAAGAAAAGTTCCAAGGGAGAACCCAACATTCTAGCGTGGGGAAAGAAAGAGAGCACAGCAAATGAGGTCAGAAGGACACAACCAGAGAAGAAAACCAGGAGAATGTGGCATTAAGGAAAAGTATCTTTTTGTGGAAGATGGGATGGGCATTTATATCAAATGCTCCTGAGAGAAGTAAAATAAAGACTACAAAAGTCCTTTTTGCAAGAACGGGGTCACTGTTTAAAAAAACAATGTCTGGACAGCACCTATGGCTCAGTGAATAGGGCAGCGGCCCCATATACCAAGGGTGGCAGGTTCAAACCCAGCCCCAGCCAAACTGCAACAAAAAATATAGCCAGAAAGAAAAAAATAGCCATGCGTTGTGGTGGGCGCCTGTTGTTTCAGCTTCTCAGGAGGCTGAAGCAAGAGAATCGCCTAAGCCCAAGAGCTAGAGGTTGCTGTGAGCTGTGACACCACCGCAATCTATCAAGGGCGACAAAGTAAGACTCTGTCTCAAAAAAAAAAAAAAATCCATTGGATTTGGTGACTTGGAGGCCTTTGTTGACGTTAACCAAAGGAAGTTTGGTTATTCTGTGGTGGGAGTAGAATCTTGCTGGAGTAGGTAAGCAAGAGCCAGTTCAGCAGGGGGCCACAGTGAGTTGGCTTCCTGGACGCTGACTAGTACAGGGTTTCTTTCTGAGGTGATGAAAGTGTTCTAAAATTGATGAAATGGTGATGGGAGGGAATCAGTGGAGAGGGACACAGGGATAGAGATGAGGGGAGGATAATAAGAGTCCAGGTTCCTGCCAGGCGGTGGCTCACACCTGTAGTCCCAGCACTCTGAGAGACCAAGGCAGGAGGTAGCTGGAGCTCTGGAGTTTGAG